GACACAAACTGAGGTACAGTCATGAAACCACACTGCACACAGAGACACTGCGAAAGTTGAAGAGTGCAATAGGCAGCAGAGAAGATGACAGAGTCTGACGAACACAAACACAGTAATTTATTCCATGCTGAACAGCCGAAACGTGTTTTTCTTCTCTTTTCAGCATGGAATAAACCTTTACTTGTTCCTTTGCAGCCTGTGCCTGCTGACATATCTCCCTTCTTGAACTACTTCAAACACAGTAATGGCAAAGTGATACATAAACAGGGAAGTGAGTTTCCCATGATGCTATGACACTTACATCTTAAATTTGCCTTACCATGGGTTATCGTATTTAGGCTGGTGCTTTACAAGACCTTTCTGAGCTTTCACCATGATTCAAATTCACTTTTCTACACTCTGAATCCACAATCATTCTGCTGTCTTATACCCTCACTCCTCAGAGATACCAACTGTCTGCAAGTTTGGCTTGTCACCGCAACCCCTGTCGCAGGGGACTGGGGAGAATGAGGCCCTGTGATTGCACCTTTCTGCACTGCCCAGCGCCTGTGCACTGGACCCCTTTTGAGTGTGACTGGTGCAGCTCTGCTCTGCCCCTGCCTGATGTGATCGGTGGCTCGCAGGTCCAAAGTGACCACAGTGCTGCTCTGCAGACTGAGGCGAGCTCCACTCTGCCACAGGACAAGGGTTCCTGCTGTGGGAGCACTCTCCACTGTGTCCACTGTCTGGGGGTGACAGCACTTCTGCGACGGGCTCAGTGTCACCTGTCACCCTGTGTGTGACAGGTGCAACTCTGCTATACCCCGTTGCAATTTAATTATGATCGCTTTTGGGCTAAGAGGGACCACAGCAGTGTTCCCCAGAAACTGGAGAACTCCACTATGCCAGGGGACCAGGTTTCCCTCTGCAGAAGCATTCCATACCGTTTAGGCAAGTTACATGTAACATGAGCCTGAGCCCTATTACTGGAGCTGCACTGTGCCTCACAGTGTATTGAGAACCACCTGAAGGAGCAGCACTTCTCACACAGAGAGCGCTGCTTGCTCATTGCACCAGGTCTCCTGGCTGACACTAAGCCATCCAGCGCAAGCAGTGCTCAGACACTTGAAGAACTGCAGCCACACCAGCTAACAACACACCCCAGGCCTGAACCAGTGACATCTGGAGTACAGGGCTCAAGTCTGTGGTTTGAGTCAGTGTCATTCTTGGTCACGCCACTCTGAAACTCCATCTTTTGCTTTAACAACACAGCATATGGACAGAAAGAGACCCAAGTGTGAGATACAAACACACACACCAAGTGTTGATACACACTGAGACAAAACACAGGGAGGGGGACACCCAGAAACATCCACGTTGAGAGTGACAGAGAACGGCGCTGACAGTCACTGACTTAACACTCATACTACAAGATGAGATCAGCGACACAGATCGAGACAAACTGACGAAGCTCCACACAGCAACAGTGATGCAGACCGATGATGCACACGGGGAGAATTATTGGAAGACACAACAAAAAGGCACAACGACAATGTACCCAGGGGACACTTACAAACACAGCCGGCTCGATGGGCAGGGGGTCAGTGCCTTTGTGAGCTGGGGGAGGCGGGTGGACAGTTGGGGAGGGGGAAGAGGAAGGGGACGAGGAAGAGGGGGCTGGCTGGCGCTGCACAGCCCCAGCGTCTGAGGAGGGCGGAGCTGGGGGGGCAAGGGGGGGCACCTCGGCGTCCAGGACCTTCCCCACCGTGGCTTCGGATCCCTCCATGACCCCAGCGAGGTCAGGGCAGGATGAGGAACGAGAGCAGGAAGTAGAGGAGGAAGTGGAAGATGAAGACGAGTGGGGAGATGTGTCAGAGGAGGAAGGGGTGGGAAGGGCAGCAGGGGTGGGAGGCGGAGGCAGGGCATCCTCCCCTGCAGGGGCAGCAGCAGCAGAAGCTGTCGTCACTCCGGCAGTCACAGAGGTGGAGGAGTGAGGGGGGGAGGTAGAAGAGGTGGGAGGGGTAGCTGCTGGGGAGGTCCCAGAGGCACTGTACTCCTGGTACAGCAGCGTCCTCAGTTTCTCATCCAGGGTCTTCATGCGGTTGTCTACAAACTCCACCTTGGGCGGCCCCTCGCTGTCGGACTCAGCCACGGACGATGGCTGGGCAGGACTGGGTATGGAAGCAGGCGTCAGGCCTGACTGGCTGCCTTGGGGCAGCACACCCCCCAGTGGCTCCACAGGGGACATGGCAACTGGAGCACCAGGGAGGCCAGGAAGGAGGCCCTGTAGGGGTGGCAGAAAGGGCTCTGAGGCACGAAGTTTCTCCTGAGCCAGTATGGACCCACTGTCCTCGCGGTCTGCGTCCCCCGATGCACATACTGACTCCTGGCGGGGCAGCTGCTGGGGCAGGAGGTCACAAGGCTTTTGCTGTAGCGACTGCAGCTCCCCTGGCTGCTGCTGGGGTTGTGTCTGCTGCGGCTGCTGGATTCCCAGCCTCTGCCGTAGCTCCAGTTCCTGCTGCTGCTGCTGAAACTGATGCTGCAGCTGCAGCTGCCCTTGTCCTTGTTCTTGTTGTTGCAGAGGCGGCTCTGGGTGCACTTGCTGCTGTAGCTGAAGTGGCGGCCGATGCTCCAGAGGCTGTGGATTCAGTAGCTGTTGCTCTATTAGGTGCCGCTGCTGTGGTTGCAGCTCTGCTTGTTGTTGCTGAGCCTGTTGCGCACAATGCTGCTGTTGCAGCTGTAATTCCTGTGCCTGCGCCTCTGCTTGTTGTTGCTGAGACTGCAGCGTAAGCAGCTGCAGTGGTTGTGGCTGCTGCAGCTCTACCTGTTGCTGAGGCTGTGTCACTTGCTGCAGCTGTTCTAAATGTAGCTGAAGCTGCTGTTGCTGCAGTGGCGATGATTGCTGCTGAAGTAACTGCTCTGGCCGTGATAACTGCGGCTGCTGGGTTTGCTGTGCTAACTGCTCTTCTTGTGCTCGCTGTTGCAGCTCTAGCTGTTGTTGATTCTGTAATTTTTGTTGTTGGTCTAGTTGTAGTTGCTGCTCAATGTGTTGCTGTTGTAATTGCTGAAGCTCTATATGTTGAAATTTCTTTAGCTGTTCTACTTGAAACTGCTGCTGCAGCTCTGCTTGCAGCTGTCCAGGTGTCTGTGTCTGTGTCTGTTGTAGCTGTC